AGGATTTAGATAAGCTAAATATTGAACTTGACTGTTTTAAGAATTGCATTTAGTATCTGATTCTGCATTGTTTATACTGATTTCTTTTGCTAATTGTTGTTGATATAAATGCTTATTAGGAAGTAAGAAAATAGAGAGTTTGTAAGCTCATTTGTCTTGAGCCATTAAAATTTGAATCTTTAAATGGGTTAGGACCTGCCTGCAAAGAAGGCTCTGAAAAGATAAGCCCCACCCAGTTCTTTGGAGTACTCAGGATGTTTGTATTCAAAGAGTCTTGCCCGGCAGGGGCGGGAGGAGTTGTTGACAGATTGAAGGGAAAAATGGAACTCTTTGGATATTTGAATTTTGAACTAGTGGTTTGTTAGAAGTTGGAAAAAATCTGGAACCATGAACAAAACTCCTCTCTAGGACTGAATATAAAGGGAGCCTGTGGCAGCCAGAAATGCTTGCTAGGTGACCACCTGGATCCACTGGTTGAGAGGAAGTGGAAGAAAAGCAGCAATAGAGAGATGGGTTGAGTCTGGCCACTGACACCCATGATTTAGAGCAGCGGTTCTCAACCTGTGGGTCGCAACCTCTTTGGGGGTTGAACGACCCTTTCACAGGGGTCACCTAAGACCATCGGAAAACACATAAATATTTCACAATATATAATTACATATTGTTTTGTGATTAATCACTATGCTTTAATTATGTTCAACTTGTAACAATGCAAATACATCCTGCATAACAGATATTTACATTATGATTCTTAACAGTAGCAAAATTACAGTTATGAAGTAGCAACAAAAATAATTTTATGGTTGGGGTGTCACCACAACATGAGGAACTGTATTAAAGGTCACCGCATTTGGAAGATTGAGAAACACTGGTTTATAGGAACTAGAAGATGAGAAGATGAGAGTGGGCTGACTGGTCTGAAGTTCATGACCTAGCACAATGGGGCTAGGCTTATTGAGAATTTGTGATGAGCCCATGGTCTAAAGGCAAGCTGACCAATGGGCACCCTGGTGAGACTATGTGAGACAGGCCACGTTGAGTTGACCAGAACCCGACCAGATGAAGAGATTTTTGAGCCTGTGAACTGGTGCATATTGCTGCAGACTTTATGGATGGTCTGTCCTGATTTGACTTTGCTTATGGATGCACACTTCACAAGGTTCCAACCGGAATAAAGATTCTTCACATCAAAGAATATGAGTCTCCTCAGAGCACTGGGTTGATGTAAGTGGGCAGTATAGAAATTGTCTACGCCAAATTGGGGGCTGAAGGCATGAAGTGGTTGGCTTATATACTTTCATATATTGGGGAATATATTCATAGAGTTATAGGATTAAGGTGTAGGTGTTCACATAAGTATAGAATATTCTTGTTCACTGATAGAACGTTATATTTAAATGAGGGTGGCACATTTTTTAATTGTATGCATTTTAGTTTTACCTTATTAGGTACAGATATACTTTTATTACTATTTGTTTGAAAATCATATATAGCTAAGGAGTTATGTGACAGCGTCAAATTGACAAAGTGGGGGGTCTGTGGTAGTTACATAATCTGGTGTCAATTTGAGGATCAAGAGTGTAGGGGTGGGGTCTAGCTTGTCAAACAGAATATTGTCAATGAGGCTTCTGTGTGGGCATGGCCTTTTCCTGAGGATTCTGGGAACTCCTGTATTATTCCTCTTGGACGGTAGGAGACAGTCTGTCTCTCTCCTCATTCCCTGTGAGACATCCCTGTGGAGAAGACACCTGGAGAGAGGCTGATTAAGCCAGACCTCTGGAGCTGAAAAAAACACATGGAGATTCTTGCTAGCTCCGAGATGCTTACAATGCCACTGGATCCACAAGACTTCCCACCCACTGGACTGTGATCTTCCTGCATTTGGTATCATTACATGTGTTTTGTGAGTTTAAAGAGGACTTTATAGAATGGTATTGGATATATGGGGTAATATCAAACATATGGACTTGATCTGGACTGGGCTGGGATGTTTTCTCAATATTCAACTGCTCTTGTATATAAAGCTCTTTCTTATACACATATCATATATGTGTATACACATATATGTCTATGGATTTGTTTCTCTAGTCTACCCAGACTAACACAGAAACGTCTTGATACATAGAGAAAAGATTGACTTATCAAAGATGTCATTTTACTTGGGTTCACAACCAATGCCTATCAAAGCAGCAGTCAAGAAATAAAACAATATATTACCTTTTTATATTGGGCAAGCCTACTACAAAGTGTTAAAAAGCAACATTTTCACTTTGAGGACTAAGGTACACTTGACCCAAACCATGGCATTTTTAATCACCTCATATACATGCAAAAACAGTGAATAAGGAAGACTGGAGAATAGAAGTATTTGAATATTTGCATTGGCAATGACTATTAAATATCCCTGGGCCCCTTTAATAAACAAATCGGTCTTGGAATGCTCTTTTAAAGGAAGGATGGAGATACTTTCTCCCATGTAAAGTGGATATGATATCAGGATGGGTAAAATAGCAGTTCAGTAAAAACAAACAAACAAACAAAAGCCAGGTGGCAGTTACATAATCTCCTGTCAACTTGAACAATGGGATGGAGTGCAGCTTGTCAATCAGGTCACAGCCTGCTTGATTCCTCCTTGTAGGCATGGCCTTCTCACGAGGATTCTGGGAACTTTTTCTTCCTCCCTAGAGTCAGGACACACACTCTCTCTGCTTCACATTGCTGTTAACAAGCCACATAAAGCTATGCTGATGGCAGCAAGAGCCCTGGAGCTGGAGGAGCCATGTGGAGACCCATGCCAGCACTGAGATGCTCCCACAAGACTTTTCACCCACTGGCCTGTAATCTTCCTGCTTTTGGTGTCACCGCATGTACTGCATGAGTTTGCACAATAATTTATAGACTAGTATTGGACTTATGGGCTAATATCAGACTTATGGACTTGATCTGGAATGGGCCATACTGTTTTCTTAATATCCAATTACTTTTGGATATAAAACTCTTTCTTATATACGAGTGTCCCTGGATTTGTTTCTCTAGTCTACCCAGATTAACACAAACAGGAATATTCTCAAGGAGATGGACTGACACAGTGGCTCTAACAATGGGCTCACATGTAATGATTGTGAGCATGATGCAGGACCAAACTGTGTAGAGAATTGCTGAGTAGGAACCGACTTGGTGTAACTTGACAACAACTAGCAAATATATTCATTGAAGTATCCTCGCACACTTTCAGTATCTTTAGCTGAGTTCTCCAGAAGGGCAAACCAATGAAGCTTCTCGATTCCCCAAATTCTCTCTCTCTCTCTCTCTCTCTCTCTCTCTGTATTTGTGTGTGTGTGTGTGTGTGTGTAGTGAGAGAGAGAGAGAGAGAGAGAAAGGGAGGAGGAGTAGGTTTACATCAAGGAAATGGCTCATATAGGTTTCGAGGTAGGTAAATTCCAAGCATTTAGGTAGGATATTAACATGGAGGCTGATCACGACTCACATAAGTTGCAGGGGCTGATGAACCCAAGATAGACAGGTCAAACAGCAGATTTCTGGCTGTAGAGGCCAATGAAGCCAGGGTTGAAGGATGGGGTGACAGGCTGCTGCTGACTCCTAGGATTGGCAGGCAATAGAGCAAGTCACTGGCCCAATTCCACCTAACTAAATGCCAGATGATGAGACAGCTGCAAGACCCAGACCCTGCGCAAAAGATGCTTTTCTACAGCGTCCACATGTATTGAAAGTAGTCCACACCCCTCAAGAACCTGTCCTTCAACTGATTGGCTATCACAGCTGAGCTCTTCGTGAAGGTGAATAAATTATATTACATCTCCTCAAAGGCAATAACAACATCTTAACTGCAAAACCACAGATAATCCTGGCTCAGGCCAGATGACAGAAAACCTTAGCTCTCGCATGTACCAAGCATAGAACTCTGCAGACGGTGGGGACTCAAAATTCAATAAATGGGACAGCGAATGGTTCGCTGATTGATTGGCTCACGTGTAGATTTTGCCATTGAAAGATGGCACTTTTCCATTATCAAGCCCTGACCCAATATCAGCTGGCATTTGTTCTTCTCCAAACTGCTCGTAGAAGGACTATCACAAACATCCTGCGGAAAGCACTTTCAAAGGCTGGATTCATTTAAAACCAACCCAAGCATGTAAAGTCATTTTAGGAAATAAGCCCCACGTCCCAAGGGCTCGGTGGAGGAGGGCCATGTTTTAGAACAGGTGTGCCACTTCACTGAGCAGGAATTTGGAAATGTCAAACATTAGAAGCACTCCAGAAACTCCCACTCAACCTACCTGACAGGCACCCTTCTGGGCTTGTATCAATAACTGCCTTGCAGAAGTGGGCTCTTGAGAAGACCTCTCAGGACTAATTCAAGATTAGCCCAAGCAAATTCGCACAGTAGGCTCTTACGGAGAGAAAACTTTATCTTCTCAATGTCTCAGAAGAAACTACATTTTTTAAAAAGAGAGAGGTGTTTGGTAAATATCCCATTTAATTACCTAGCAGTTCATAATAGCAACTGTTTATTTTACCACATTCAGCATATTTTATCTGACCTTGCTTCCCTACTTGAAATGTTCATACAAAGGCAGGGGCTTTAACGGGGTTTCTCCCATTCCTTTGGAAATGGGCACCTCACAGTCCACACTGGCCTGCAAGTGCTCTTTCGACAATGCCCCTTCCAGTAGGACACAGCTTTCTGCAGGCCAGCAGTCAGTTCTAGGGAAAATGCAAACAGTACTTTCCATTACAATAACTTCTATCCAGGGAAGAGAAACAAAACAGGCATATCTGTAGCACAGCAGCCAGTGAAAAGTTTACTAGCGCTGGCCAATTGAAGGCTGTGGAGCTGGGCCAAGTTAGCATGTTTTTCTTCGCTGCTAGATGAAGTCATGATTGAAATATGCCATTGAACTCGCCCTTTAGAAAGGGAAGAGGGGCTAGGAAAGAAAGGCCGACCCAGCAGCCTAGTGCCCTGGGCTGCGGAGACCAGTTAGGAAGTGTTTGCAGCGCTTCTGAACTCTGAGTGGTTCTCTGTCCATAACCTTCACCTCCCACTGGGTGGAGTGGGGCCTTTAAGAGAAGCTGGAATGCAGTTCCCCTGATCAGAGGAACCAGTTGTTGCCTGTCTGAGCCTCTGCCAGTCCTGGAGACCGGTGCTCTGAGCTTGGCGGAGCGGGCCTGGCCCTGCGCCCCTCGTCGCCCTCCTCACCTGCACAAGAACTCTGCACTAGCAGGCGGGAAGCCTCCACCTGTTCTGTCATGGGAGAGGACGCTGCCCAAGCCGAAAGGTCCCAACAGCCGGGTGCTGACATGCGGCAGGAGATACCATGGAGCCCCAGTCCGGTGCCCTCCTCCACGCCGAGCCCTAGCCTCCACCTGGGGAGCCCAGAGGAAGCTATCCGGGACAAAGCCCAGGTGAACGCCGTCACGGTGCTCACGCTCCTGAACAAGTTAGTGGACATGCTGGGCACTGTGCAGGACAACCAGCACAAGATGGAACAGCGGCAGATCAGCCTCGAGGGCTCCGTGAAGGGCATCCAGAACGACCTCACCAAGCTCTCAAAGTACCAGGCCTCTACCAGCAACACGGTCAGCAAGCTGCTGGAGAAGTCCCGAAAGGTCAGCGCCCACACCCGCGTGGTCAAGGAGCGCCTGGAGCAGCAGAATGCACAGGTGAAGCGGCTGGAGACTAACCACGCCCAGCTCCTGCGACGCAACCACTTCAAAGTGCTCATCTTCCAGGTGGGTGCCCTCCAGCCACTTGCTCACACCCAGGCTGGGGTCTTCTGCATGTGTGTCTTAGGGGTCCTGCTCTCAGTCATTTGTCCATGTGTCCTGTCTGCCAGGGATCACGCACCGCAGGCACTATTCCCTGACTGGCTTCAGCAGGACAATGCGAAATGTGCACACAGGGTAGGGATTGCCCAGTGCCCTGTACCCTAAACCCAAGGCAGATGCCTGGTGGTATGAAACCGAGGGCACTTGTCAGCCAGCACCTGGATCCATTCCATAAAGGTTGGGAAAGCGTGCAGGTGTGTGCATCGCAGCCAAATGCATTTGTCTCTTTGCATTACGAACATGGGGCCTTGGCTGCAGTTGTTAGCAGGACAAGGCAAATTAATTCAGTGGCTTCTTATTAACTCTTTATTGAAACACAATCTTGAGGGTGTGTGTGTGTGTGTGTGTGTGTGTGTGTTATTTTACCCAAGTCAAACCCACAACTGGCTAAGCTATTCCTTTTCCAAAGGCTGTGGGAGGTGGAAAGCCAGCCCCATCAGAGTAGCTGCTGCTGGTGTTAGATACTGGGGAGTCACTGCAAATGAGCCTTTTACCTTTTAAGACTTTTCGAAGGAAGCATTCTTATTGATGAATTCTCTTCTAGCAAAGGATGCACTAAAGATATCGAGCATAATTCCTTAACGCACACAAGCTATCGGCCTCTCCTTGCTCAGAGAGAACCCAACTGCAGAGGAAAATGAGAAACAGTGCTATCAGTTCGAGTCACAAAGGCTGGCCTTGAATATTGCTTCTCTCCAATAGTTGCTTGAGAATAAAAAGGCCACTTAACGTTTTTTTTTAATGCATCAGTGATGCAATCAATGTAGCAAGAGGCTATTTGGGGACAGGGACATTGCGTTGGGCTGTTGTGCAGCCAAGTGGTGGGCATTTGTGAATCCCAGGGCAGCCCTTCCGTCCAGCGGAACCTAGCCAGCACAGAGCCCAGTAAGCGATTGCCAGCCCCGCCCGAGGGCTGTCTAGTTGTAACATTTGAATGGGAGAGGATTTCAAAGCCATGGAGGGAAGAGGCTATAACCAACAGTTTGATTGTGAAAGGCACACAGGGAGAGCCTTTATCTCCCAAGAGAGATTTAGAAATTTGGATTTAAACTGAGGGAGCCTTCTTTTTCCAAGGAATCAGCTCTGCCAAGTTAGAACCCAAGTAAGCCTTCTTCCCCCATAAAAGGAAAAGCTCATCTTGCTGGTTTTTTATCCTCCCCAACTGCACTTGGGTGTTGTAAAGCTTCAGGCAGCGGATGTCCTCCTCTACCTTGCAGGCTTTTGCAGCCAGGGAAACTTTTTTAGCTTTTAATGCAAATGGAATAGCTTTTCATGCACCAAACGAACTGAAAAGCGATGCGGTAACTGGGCCTTTCTTAAGCCTTATGAGAGGCTCACTTAATTAGCCTAAAAGATATTAGAAATCTCAGCTCTCAAGGCATTTCTAAATTAAATACTGATCTCCAAACAAAACGAAACACGTACACACCCACTTAAATCTGAGTCACTGAAGGAAATGCCCTTCCCGTGGAGACTGAGGTGATCTTTCATCACATCCCTCAATTGTGGAGAGACAAGAGAATGTCTACGTAGAGGGAAATCGTAATTTGTTAGGCTCAGGTTTGCTGTGGTTTTGCTACAGAGATAGGTGACTAGAAATTCAAGAGAATAGTAATTCTGATATTGAAAAATAAAACTATTGGGGAATTTAAAAGGATGTGCTGTGGTTGAGGAAGGGGCACAGTCCCCATTTTCTGACGTTGGATTGACAGGTGTGAAAATTGCAACCAGAAGGGTTGGCATCCATCACATAGTGAGGGAAAGCTAACAGAAAGATTTGATACTCAAGGCCCAGGTAGACCCTAAGAAGACGCCGAGTGGTGTTTCAACTTCATTGTGGGCCCCTGAACAAGCAGCCCCCAAGGACACTTTGGAAAAACATCCAAGAGGCAGGGAACTGGAAGGAAGTGCCTAGGCCTTTCTGAAGCCAATGAGATACTTTATTGGACTAATAAATATTAGAAATCTCAATTCCCAAGGCATTGCAAGATGATTCTTTGGGGCGGGAGGGCAGGGCGGGAGAAAACAAATACAAGCGCAGTTCCTCTGTGAAAAAGTGGTTCTCTTTCTCATGCTCCTTCTTAAAGTGGCAGATTTTAGAGTAGACATTCTGTTATTGGGTAAAATAATAACATGTGAGAAAGGAATCAACTAGTGCAGTTGAAATAAGAGTTTAGAATAATACAGACCCTAGTTCAAATTCTAGTTTTAGCACCTGCCAACTATCACAGACCTGGCATATTTTGCAGCTACTCCAAGTCTCTTATTTGTACACAGTTCTATTTCTGAAACTGAAGTATTTTTGACCACTTTACTCTGCTGCACATCTTTAGGTGCATTATCTTTTTTTTATCTTTTTATTGGGGGCTCGTACAACTCTTATCACAATCCATACATACATCCATTGAGTCAAGCACATTTGTACATTTGTTGCCATCATCATTCTCAAAACATTTTCTTTCTACTTTACCCCTTGGTATCAGCTCCTCATTTTTCCTCTCCCTCCCCATCCCGCCTCCCTCACGAACTCTTGATATTTTATAAATTATTATTATTTTGTCATGTCTTACACTGTCTGATGTCTCCCTTCACCCACTTTTCTGTTGTCCGTTGCCTACAAAGGGGGTTATATGTAGATCTTTGTGATCAGTTCCCCCTTTCTACCCCACCTTCCCTCCACCCTACAGTATTGCCACTCTCACCACTGGTCCTGAGGAATCCATCTGTCTTGGATTCCCTGTGTTTCCAGTTCCTATCTGTACCAGTGTACATCCTCTGGTCCAGTCAGGTTTGTAAGGTAGAACTGGGATCATGATAGTGGGGGAGAGGAAGCATTAAAGAACTAGAGGAGAGTTGTATGTTTCATCGGTGCTATACTGTACCCTGACTGACTCATCTCCTTGCCATGACCCTTTTGTAAGGGGATGTCCAGTTGCCTACAGATGGACTTTGGGTCCCTACTCCACACTCACCCTCATTCACAATATGATTTTTTGTTCTTTGATGCCTGATACCTGATCCAATCAACATCTCATGATCAAACAGGCTGGTGTGCTTCTTCCATGTGGGCTTTGTTGCTTTTGAGCTAGATGGTCACTTGTTTATCTTCAATCCTGTAAGACCCCAGATGCTATATCTTTTGACAGTTGGGCACCATTAGCTTTCTTCACCACATTTGCTTATGCACTTGCTTTTTCTTCAGCAATCTTGTCAGGAAGGTGAGCATTATGGAATTATGTGCATTATCTTATCTGTCACCAATTTACAGATGAAACTGATAATAGAAATGCTTATATCTTGCTTCAATTTGTTTAGTCAACAAGTGGGGAGCTAGCAAGACAAACACATTTGACTGATTTCAAAGCATGTGCCCTTAAACGCTAATGCCATCATATAGTAAGGAATCAATGAATTAATATATTTAAGAAGCAGTGACTGACATGGGTAAGTGTTCAATGAATAGAAGCCGCTAGTGGCTGGATTTGAAATTCATTTGCCCAAAAGGAGATTAAGCGCTTGCTTGGTTAGAAACATGACCCTGGATTAAAACATACCTTACCCTAACCGATATCTTTAAACAGTTAAGCTTTACTTTTTCCAGTTTAACCTTATTAAAACACAACAGGCACACATACACACACACACCCCCTTCCTGTCATGCATTACATTCCTGTGACTGTGTTGGAATCACAATGATGCCACCACCAGTGCCATGAAAGGGAAGGACTCTAACCAGAGGACCTACCTAACTAGACTCCTCGAGTCTCTGGGTTTGGAGTGCGGCCAGCTGTTCACCAGAGGTACCTGAGAAGACAGAGCTCGCGAGCTACTTCATAACCACAGCCATCGACAACCCGAGGCATCACGACTCCGCTCTGGCACACCGAGGTGGCTGGGAGTCACACGGACTTGACGGTGACGTGGTGGGGTGGCCATGGCAGTGACAGCCATAACAGCAAGTTCTCCACAGTCTGGCAGCCAGTGACTGTTTCCCCGCTAGACCTGTAAGGACTGCGTAGGGGAAGAAATATATGAAGGAGCTTCCAAAAGTTCATGGGCAAAGTGGATTAAAGGATAGAACTTTTCCATGAAGATTTTGAAACCTCCTCAGACTAGGAACTCCTTAGCATCTTCATGTAGTTTATCATTTTTGGTCCACATGAACTCTATGTTTGACTTTCCCTGATTAAATCCATTGATTTTCTAGTTGTAGGCAAGATTTTGATGTGAACCTAAGAGCATGAGGAAAGAAAACATGTCTCATGACGTGAGTATAATTGGTGTCGTCATGTGTGGAACGTTGTACTACCAACGGGTTAAGTTCCATCATGACCTTGTAAAGCCCTCCAAAAGCTGTAGGTGTTTGGTTGGTTGGTTTGCCAGTTGACTACACATTTTCTTTTCTTTTTTTTTTAATGCCATATTTTCCCCCTTAATTTGTCTGACTTAAAACCTGCCATTTATTTATTTAAGTCTGTGCTGATCTTTACAACATTGCTGTAGCTGTTAAGCATCTCATTCCTTAGTAATTACTCCAAATTCTAACCAGCAGTCTCTAAAAATGGAGAAACATTCATCTCCCTGTGAGCAGGAACATAAATTTTAAAATCCTTGCTACACTCAGCACCTTTCCTTTTCCCTTTTTGTTTTGAAGATGAAGATCGGTGTTTGACTTCCAAGTGGTGGGCATGCTGCAGCACACACGGCACGAGAACGCAGGGGCGCTGCCAGCAGTGCACGTGCTAGAGAAAGGCTCGAACTCTGCTGGGAAGAATGGCGAGGCGCCCTGTCACTGAACACAGGATGTCAGCAGAGAGTCAGTGACTTGAGAGGCCACAGGGAAGTTCCCCAGTTGCTTGTGAGCCTAGAAATTCCCAGGTGACAGACCCTGTGGGTGTGGTGGC